TTTCTTTCCTTCCTTTCCCTTTTTTTTTTTTTTTTTGAGACTGAGTCTCACTCTTGTCCAGGCTGGAGTGCAGTGACACAATATCAGCTCAGTGCAACCTCTGCCTCCTGGATTCAAGTGGTTCTCCTGCCTCACCCTCCCTAGTAGCTGGTACTACAGGTATATACCACCATGCCTGGCTCATTTTTCTATTTTTAGTAGAGAGAGGGGTTCACCATGTTGCCTAGGCTGGTCTTGAACTCCTGACCTCAGGTGATCCACCTGCCTCAGCCTCCCAAAGTGCTGGGATTACAGGCATGAGCCACCGGGCCTGGCTCTTTGAGACAGGGTCTCACCCAGTCACCCAGGCTGGAGTGCAGTGGCACAGTGGCATGATCATGGCTCACTATAGCCTCAGCATCCCAAGTAGCTGAGATTGTAGGCCCTCGCCATCACACCCAGATAATTTTTGTGATTTTTTTTGTGGAGATGGGGTTTTGTCATGTTGCCCAGGCTGATCTCAAATTTCTGGGCTCCTAAAGTTCTAGGATTACAGATGTGAGCCACTGTGGCAGGCCCCTCCCCTTTTTTTGGGCGGGGGATGGAGTCTTGCTCTGTCACCCAGGTTGGAGTGCAGTGGTACTCTCTCTGCTTACTGTAACCTCTGCCTCCCATGTTCAAGAGATTCTTCTGCCACAGCCTCCCAGGTAGCTGGGACTACAGGCGTGTGCCATCACACCTGGCTAGGTTTTTTGTATTTTTAGTAGAGATAGGGTTTCACTGTATCAGCCAGGATGGTCTTGATCTCCTGACCTCGTGATCCACCTGCCTTAGCCTCCCAAAGTGTTGGGATTACAGGTGTGCATCCCCGGTGCCTGGCCTTTTTTTTTTTTTTTTTTTTTAAGGAAAAATAAGGATGGCTTGTGCTTGTGAGAAGGTAGAGGATGCATTCATGTAATTCCCCAGCTCAGGAACTATTTTCACTGTTTCTTGGTAGATAAAACATTCCTTGGGACCCCTGTTGTCATCTATTGAAAGGTGGGCCAGAGGAAACACTAGAGATGCTGGACTCAGGTGTCTAGAAAGGACGCAAAACTGCCCTATGGCAATGATACAATTTTGGTCAACTTTAGTTTCTTACCTATCTCAAAGGATTATAGTGAGGATTCCAGGAGAGACACCCTGAGGATCATGGGGTGGGCGTTAGATTTCATTCATTTGTGTAATGAGTATTGAGCAACTGCTATTGGGTGGTGTGACTGGATGGATGAATAAGGTGAAGATCCGGGCGCTAGGACTGGCTTTCTCGTGCAATTCCGTGATCAGGGGGCAGGCCTCGAGGTACATGCCACGTGCACCTACCCGAGATTCTGACTGCCGGCCACGCACGTTTGGCACGCCGGATATGGCGTCACCGCCCCGTGGTTCCAGGAACCTGGCGGTGAGACCGGAAATCAGGTCTACCAGGGGGCACAGATGACCGGAAGCGGGCCCGGGAGGAGCTGCTAGTCCTAGCCTAGAGCTGGTAGGATAGCGTGAGGAAGGCGGGACGCAGGGCGGAGCTGCTGCAGGGGCGGGGCCTGCGGGCAGGCGCCGGGGGTTGGGGCGGGAACCCCTAGTCCCCTCCAGACCCCGCCTGCTCGGGCGCCGGCCGCGGCGCGGCAATGAAGCTGAAGCTGAAGAACGTGTTTCTCGCCTACTTCCTGGTGTCGATCGCCGGCCTCCTCTACGCGCTGGTACAGCTCGGTGAGCGGGGCGGGGCGGGGGTGCGGCGGGCCGGCCGAGGGAGCCCGCCACCGTGCATCCCGCCCTGGGGATGAACCTCTGGCAAACACCATTCATCCCTCTCGGCCTTCCGGACAGCTCTGCGGCTGCAGGCTCACTCCCCTCTATACAACGCACCGCGGCTGGCCGCAGCACCTCGGATGTAATCCAGACTCCTTCCCAGAGCCTGCAAGGCCCCGCATGATCCTGGCTGCCGTCCGCTTCTCCAACCCCATTTCCCACCCCTCTCCCTCGCCCTGCTCCAGCCTGACTGGCTTGCTGACAGTTTCTCGAAAACCCCACGCTCATTGCTCTCTCAAGCGCTTAACTTGTTCCGTCTGCGTGGGGTGCTTTTTTTCTAGCTCTTCCCTAGATGCCTCTTTCTCATCCTTCAGGTCTTAGCTCAAATGTCACCTCCTCAGAGAGGCCTTCCCTGAACACCGTAGCTAAAGTTACCGTTCATATTCCATTCCCTTTTATTCTCTATCCTGGTTATTTTCTTCATGGCCCCATCACGGTTTGTAATAATTTTATTAATTTTTTTCTTGGCTTAGTGTTTGCTTCCTCCACTAAACTGAGAGCTCCGTGAGGGGAGGGACTGTGTCTGTCTTGTTCCCTGCTGTATACCCAGCACCTAAGGTAGTGCCTCCTAGGAAGAGTATTCAATAAATATTTATCCTACGATGCAATAAATGAATTTAACAATGAGTCTTTGGTCACAAGCCAAGGGAATGGATTGAACCCTGCCTCTTATGCAAGGATTTAGGGACAGTGCCACTGCGTTATCCTCAGGTATTTGAAAGACTGTCCTAAAGGGGATTCCATTGTGTCATGGTTAGCACCTTGGACCTGAAAGACTGTCCTGATAAGGACATCAGCTTGTTTGTTATGAGTCCAGGAGGCAAAATTATGGCCAGTAGGTAGAAAGGATGGAATCAGTTCAATATCCAGCATAAAATTGTGACAATGGAATTTATTAAGGATGGAGAGGGTCGGCTGGGCACTGTGGCTCACGCCTGTAATCCCAGCACGTTGGGAGGCCGAGGCAGGCGGATCACAAGGTCAAGAGATCGAGACCATCCTGGCCAACATGGTGAAACCCCGTCTCTACTAAAAATACAAAAATTAGCTGGGCGTGGTGGCATGCGCCTGTAGTCCCAGCTCTGGAGGCTGAGGCAGGAGAATTGCTTGAACCTGGGAGGTGGAGGTTGCAGTGAGCCGAGATTGTGCCACTGCACTCCAGCCTAGCACCTGGTGACAGAACAAGACTCTGTCTCAAAAAAAAAAAAAAAAAAAAGATGGAGAGGGTCTGCTGCTTGAGGCAGTGAGGTCCCCACACCAGAGGTATAGGCTACTAGGGAAGTAATAAGGGGATTCTGCATTGGCTAGGAATTAATGAGAAGATGATGGCCCTTTGGGATGCTGAACATTCTGTGGTTCTCTGCCTCTACCCTCTTTCCCCACTGATGCTTCCTGGGACCAGGCCAGCCATGTGACTGCCTTCCTCCCCTTCGGGCAGCAGCGGAGCAGCTTAGGCAGAAGGATCTGAGGATTTCCCAGCTGCAAGCAGAGCTCCGACGGCCACCTCCTGCCCCTGCCCAGCCCCCTGAACCCGAGGTCCGGCCTACTATCTATGTTGTTACCCCCACCTACGCCAGGTATGGGCTCTGGTGCACCCAAGAGGTCTGCGTTATCTAAGAAGTTGGAGTTGATGATGAGGAGTTTGGGGAGGCACCGGACTGGGAGATGTTTCTCAAACTATCGCATGCCAAAGACAGGAAAAATGAACCATATCTATATTCAAAGATTTGTGGGAAAATAGTTCTTGTTCAGGCCGGGCACGGTAGCTCACTTGTATAATCCCAGCACTTTGGGAGGCCAAGGCAGGTGGATCACCTGAGGTCAGGAGTTCGAGACCAGCCTGGCCAACATGGCAAAACCCTGTCTCTACTAAAAATACAAAATCAGCTGGGTGTGGTGGTGCATGCCTGTGATCCCAGCTACTTGGGAGGCTGAGGAAGGAGAATTGCCTGAACTTGAGAGGCAGAGGTTGCAGTGAGCCAAGTTCGCACCATCACACTCCAGTTTTTTTGAAACTCTGTCTCAAAAAAACAAGAAAAAGAAAAAAAGTTCTTTTTCTAGAGGGAAAATACAAAATTCCTGCCAAATTATGAAATAGAACAATCACATTTCAAAGAAATTTTGAGCTTGACAGTGAATTAACTCTCTTTCCTTAGGGACCCTTTGTTGAGAAAGTTAAAAACCCCTGGTTAAAGTTGAAAATGCTTGGTGGGGCACAGTGGCTCACACCTGTAATTGCTGCACTTTGGGAGCCCGAGGCTGGTGGATTGCCTGAGCTCAGGAGTTTGAGACCAGCCAGGGCAACATGGTGAAACTCTGTCTCTACCAAAAAAAAAAAAAAATTAAAAAAATACAAAAATTAGCTGAATGTAGTGGTGCATGCCTGTAATGCCAGCTACTCTGGAGGCTTAGGCAAGATTGCTTGAGCCTGGGAGGCAGAGGTTGCAGTGCGTGGAGATGACGCAGCTTGAGCGACAGAGAGAGAGAGACCCCATCTCAAAAAAAAAAAAAAACAAAAAACGCTGAATCTGCTTTTACTCCATTAGACCAAAAAGAAAAAAAAAGGCTGAAAGCATTTGGCCTGATAGTAATACTAGGGTCCAGAAATAGTTTTACCAGGTGTTACTTACAGTGTGTTTACTCTTTTTTTTTCATTTTTGAGTCGGAGTCTCGCTTTATCGCCCAGACTGGAGTGCAGTTGTGCGATCTCGGCTCACTGCAACCTCTGCCCCCCAAGTTCAAGTGATTTTTCTGCCTCAATCTCCCAAGTAGCTGGGACTACAGGCGCATGCCACCACACCCAGCTAATTTTTGTATTTTTAGTAGAGATGGGGTTTCACCATATTGGCCAAGCTGGTCTAGAACTCCTGACCTCATGATCTGCCCACCTTGGCCTCCCAAAGCGCTGGGATTACAGGTGTGAGCCACCGCGCCTGGCCAGTTTTGTTCACTCTCTACCAGGCACTGTGTTTAATGATCTATGTTTGTTTTTGTTTTGAATCAAAATGTAATTGGTTTTACTGATAAAACCAATTGGGGAATGTGGTTTTGGATCTGTAGCCATGGGGGTGTTAACACATCTGGGAATCAGATGGCTGTCCCGTTCAGGCCCAGGCAGCTCTAGACCCCACCTGTGACATGCACACATACACGCACACATCACCAGCCTTGAGGCAGGCAGGTAGATCTGAAGGATAAAGCAGCACAGACGAGGCCAAACCCCACATTCCACATTCCTGGTTTGTTCTTTCCATACCCCCCGGCCCCACCTGGAGACAGAGTCTTGCTCTGTTGCCCAGGCTGGAGTGCAGTGGCGCAATCTCGACTCACTGCAACCTCCACCTCCCGGGTTCCAGTGATTCATCTGCCTCAGCCTCCTGAGTAGCTGGGATTACAGGTGTGTACCACCATACCAGGCTAATTTTTTTATTTTTAGTAGAGACAGGGTTTCACCATATTGGCCAGGCTGGTCTTGAACTCCTAACCTTGTGGTCCGCCCACCTTGGCCTCCCAAAGTGCTGGGACTACAGGTGTGAGCCACTGTGCCCAGCCTCCTGGTTTGCTAAGTTCTGGTGAGGAATGAACCTAGGGGTTGCCTAAAATAAGTCCCTCTCTCTGGAAACCCAGTGCAGAAGGAAAAGAACCTGTTCTACTGGTATTTTAGAAAGTCATTATCTTATTAAATCTTTTTTTTTTTTTTTTTTTTTCTATACTAGAGATGGAGTCTTGGACTGTCGCCCAGGCTGGAATGCAATGGCGAGATCTTGGTTCACTGCAACCTCTGCCTCCCGAGTTCACGCGATTCTCCTGCCTCAGCTCCTGAGTAGCTGGGATTACAGGTGCACACCACCACACCCAGCTAACTCTTTTTTTGTATTTTTAGTAGAGATGGGGTTTCACTATGTTGGCCAGGCTGGTCTGGAATTCCTGACCTCAGGTGATTCACCCAACTCGCCTCCCAAAGTGCTGGGATTACAGGTGTGAGCCACTTCGCCCAACCTTTTTTTCTTTTTGAGACAGAGCTTCACTCTGTCGCCCAGGCAGGAATACAGTGGTATGATCTCTGCTGACTGCAACCTCCGCCTCCCAGGTTCAAGTGATTCTCCTGTCGCAACCTCCTGAGTAGATGGGACTACAGGTGCTTGCCACCATGCCCAGCTAATTTTTTATTTTTAGTAGAGATGGGGTTTCACTATGTTGACTAGGCTGGTCTCAAACTCCTGACTTCAGGTGATCCGCCTGCCTCACTCCCAAAGTGCTGGGATTACAGGTGTGAGCCACCTTGCCTGGCTCTTAATCTTTAAAACAACATTCTTATAAAGTATTGTTAATCCCATTTTACAGTTGAGGAAACTGAGGCTCAGGGAGATTGATCCATTTTCCCAAGTTGTCTCACCTAATAAGTTACAAAACTGGATTTCAGAACTAGATCTACCTTATTCCAAAGGCTGTGCCTTTTTTTTTTCTTTTGAGAAAGAGTTTTGCTTTTGTCGCCCAGGCTGGAGTCCAGTGGTATGATGTTGGCTCACTGCAACCTCTGCCTCTGGGGTTCAATCAAGCTATTCTCCTGCCTCAACCTCCTGAGTAGTGGGATTATAGGCATCTGCCACCACACCTGACTAATTTTTTGTATTTTTGTAGAGGCGGGGTTTTGCCATGTTGGGCAGGCTGGTCTTGAAACCCTGACCTCGGGTGATCTGCCCACTTCGGCCTCCGAAAGTTCTGGGATTACAGGCATGAGCCACTGTGCCCGGACTTTTTTTTTTTTTTTGAGATCGAGTTTCACTCTTGTCACCCAGGCTGGAGTGCAATCCCTCAGTCTCGCTCACGGCAACCTCCTCCAGGTTCAAGTGATTCTCCTGCCTCAGCCTCTTGAGTAACTGAAATTACAGGCACATGCCACTATGTCCAGCAAAATTTTGTATTTTTTTAGTAGAGACAGGTTTTCACCATGTTGGCCAGCCTGGTTTGGAACTCCTGACCTCAGGTGATTCACCTGCCTCGGCCTCCCAAAGTGCTGGGATTACAGGTGTGAGCCACCGCACCTGGCCCTGTGCCCTTAATTTATAGTCTCCCATAGCCAGAGCTCTGGGGTTGAGGTGAGGGATGGACATGAACTGGAAGAACAGGGCAGGTGAGTGTTAGCATGAAGTTGACAGGCAAGAAAGAGGGAGTTTAGGCATTGGTTGGGAAAGACCACGGGAGATACAGGCAGTGGCCCAGGTGAAGCTGTCTGCCCTAGCTGGAGTGGGCAAATGGTGCCTACCCTTTTCCCTCGTGCTGCATCTCTCCCCTGCAGGCTGGTACAGAAGGCAGAGCTGGTACGGCTGTCCCAGACACTGAGCCTGGTGCCCCGGCTACATTGGCTGCTAGTGGAGGACGCTGAGGGTCCCACCCCACTGGTCTCAGGGCTGCTGGCTGCCTCTGGCCTTCTCTTCACACACCTGGTGGTCCTCACGCCCAAAGCCCAGCGGCTTCGGGAGGGCGAGCCTGGCTGGGTTCATCCCCGTGGTGTAGAGCAGCGGAACAAGGCCCTGGACTGGCTCCGGGGCAGAGGGGGAGCTGTGGGTGGGGAGAAGGACCCACCACCACCAGGGACCCAGGGAGTTGTGTACTTTGCTGACGATGACAACACCTACAGCCGGGAGCTGTTTGAGGAGGTGAGCACGAGGATGGGGATGGGCAAGAGGCCAGGTGAAGCCACCTTCATTCATTACCTTGGTTAACAGTGTTGCCGTTGGCTGCTGGGTGACAGGCTGGAAGCAGTGGGCAGAGTGAGCCAGGTGGCTCCTACTGCTGCTCCCTTCCCCGGACCACTCCTGTTTCTTCTCTCCCAACCTCCGATAGATGCGCTGGACCCGTGGTGTCTCAGTGTGGCCTGTGGGGCTGGTGGGCGGCCTGCGATTCGAGGGCCCTCAGGTCCAGGATGGCCGGGTTGTGGGCTTCCACACAGCATGGGAGCCCAACAGGCCCTTCCCTGTGGATATGGCTGGATTTGCTGTGGCCCTGCCCTTGCTGTTGGCTAAACCCAATGCCCAGTTTGATTCCACCGCTCCCCGGGGCCACCTGGAGAGCAGTCTTCTGAGCCACCTTGTGGATCCCAAGGACCTGGAGCCACGGGCTGCCAACTGCACTCGGGTAAGGGAATGGAGGCAGGCACAGAAACCTGGCTCTGGGATGGACAGGTTTTGGAAAGGTGCAGTGAGACCCTGGGAATAGGGTGGTTTAACCAGGAGGGACTCTCCAGATCTCTGATCAGCCTTGCTGACTCTACCGAAGGAGAAGCTGGGAACCAGGGAGGGAAAGTGGTCTGCTGCCACTCCATCCCTGAGTCCTGGGAACCCATGCGGCACAGACAGGATGAAGGAATAAGGCCCCGTTTTAGAGGCACTAAGTCTTCCTCCACCCTGCTCTTTACACTTTGAATATGTGGAGAGGGTTAGAGAATCCATTCCAGGCTGAGGGCCCCAGAGGCCTGGCTGCCGCTGGGCCTGGCTCTCACTGCTTCCCTCCTGGCACAGGTACTGGTGTGGCATACACGGACAGAGAAGCCCAAGATGAAGCAGGAGGAGCAGCTGCAGCGGCAGGGCCGGGGCTCAGACCCAGCAGTTGAGGTGTGATGGCCCCACCCCAACTCCCACCTCTTTTCAGGCACAGATCTTGTGGGACTGGACCCCGGGCCTTCCCAGGATGTGGCTTTCCAAGTCCTGACTCTTTGGAGCCGGAAGTGGCCCCTCTGCCCCTCCAGGCCCACAGCATGGCCCTGCTGCTTTGCCCCTCCCCTGGCCTGCCATGTGGCACTGCCCACAGGCTGGGGACAAGCAGCCCTTGTATTGAGCCAGGTCAGCCCTGTCTAGGGTGGAGTAGAAGGACAGACGGACTCAAGAGGGAGGGCAGCTGAGTAACTGGGTAACTTATTGGGGCTGGGCATGCACTGGGGGGCTGGAGGAGCTGGGCTGGACCCTCCCCACCTGAGCATGCTGATCCCCTCCTACCTTCAGAATAAAGAATCTCAACCTGGAGGGCCTGTTGTTTTCCTTTCCTTCTTACATCGGGTTGTTGCTTTCTGATCCTTACAGATGTGGGCTCCTGTTCTGCACAGGTCGAGCCAGGGTCCAAACTTTGGAGTCCTGGCTGCTCCATCAGACAGAAATCAGTTCTCCCAGGCCCCCATCCCCTTGAAAGAAAAAGCAGTTGCTTCCATCCAAAAACTTTATTGAGTTTGTACCAGAATCCATCTCCAGGCCTTCCCACGTCAGTTTCCCATCACTCTGTTCTTGGTGGTTGTTCCCTGGTGGTTCTGGCTATGAGGGCTAGGCCCTAGGATATCTGGTTTTCTTTCTTACCCCAGTCCAGCTCACTGACTATCCTTAACCCTTCTAATCCCAGGATTCCCCTCCCCAGCCTGGAGCCTTGGTAAGGAATTGTGAGATTTCCAGACTTGTCCATCCCTTCCTCCTCCCCACCCCAAGCTCCAGGTCCTTAGGCCTCAGATAGATCCTCCTTGGGAGGTGCCTCTCCTGGTGGGGCCTCCTCAGGTGCTGGCCTGCGGGCAACCCATCCCTGTAGCCATGCTGTTTTCAGCATCTCTTTCAGCCCACTGGGAAAGAGATAGCCCTGGGTCTCTCCTTCCCCATCAATGACCCCTCCAAGCCCCTCCAGTGCTGTTTGCAGGTACCGCAGGCCAAGGAGCACCAGAGCCTGTGGGGAAAGCAAGGGGAAAGAGTCAGAGAGTCAGTGTTTCCAGGAGGCCCAGCGTTGGAGGCAGGGAGTCCCAGGTGGGAGGAGGCCTCAGATGCTTTGCTGACTCACCTGCAGTAGGAAGGTGACAGCCAGCATGCTACCCAGTGTGCCTGCCAAGTCCTGCAAGTGCTCCAGCAGCACCTCATGGCACCCTTGGACCCAGAGGTTTTGGTTGGGTTGTCGGGGATCGAACAGGGGATGGGCGTAGGAGTCTGAAAGACGGTTTTGCAGGCAAGGCCGGGGTGAGTGGGGGTTGCAGCAGGAGAAAGGGACTCCATCAGTCAGATATAGGCCTTCCACATTGCTCTGGATCCGGCTGCAAACGGAGGGACAGAGGGTTTAGGATGTCTGGAGATAGAGGCCTGGGGGAGGAGGTGAGGGGCACAGGTGTTTGAGAAGGGAAAAAGGATGGTAAAACATTTACTGACTGCTGGCTTACGTGCCAGCCAAGCATAATTCACTTTATCTTCACAACGACTCTATCAGATAGGTACTATTATCTCCATTTTACAGGTGAAGGAATGGGCCCAGGGTGATTTGGTAACATGCCTGGGTTTCACAGCTAATAAATAGAAGAGCTGTAACCCACCTCTCTGCTACTGTGCTCTACTTATTGCCTTTCTGGGCCAGGTGGGGTTTCAAGGCAGCAGGAGGGAGCCTGGCTAAGGAGGAGGAGGAGGAGGAAGGGTGAAGCAAATCACTCACTCAACCACGTCCTGGTCACTGGGGTCCAAGTAACGGCTGCTGACCCACTGGACCCCAAACCAATCCTTGTAGCCGTGGCGCCCGCAGCAGTGGTACCTCAGCTGTAGCTCATCCACCAGCCTTTTGTCCTGACAGTGCCCAGGCACCTCTGTGTCCCTGTAGTGAGCCAAGGCAGTCCCCAGGCCCTCCTCCAGTGCCTCATCCAGACTCCCAGGCAAAGCCAGGGCTAGGCCAAGGGCGAGGACCAGGAGCCCCCCACCACCAGCTGTGCCAGCCACCAGCAGTGGGCCCAGGACCCCTCTCCAGGGAGGGTACAGAGCTGCATTCAGACTTGCCCGGCTGGCTCCTGCACCCACTAGTCCTGTGCCCAGAGCCACCACACCCGCTGCCAGGGCAGCTTGGGGCAGGGTAGGGAACTGACAGGAGGGAGCCAGGAAGGTGCCAAGGTGCCGCAGCTGGACCAGGAGGTGCCCGCTACAGAGGAGGATAAGGCCACCGGCCAGTGCCAGTAGCCAGGAGAGGAGCCAGAGCCCTTGTGCCAGGCGGATGCGGGGCTGCAGGGGCAGCACCAGGGGCAACACCGGCGCCATCTCCCATCTCTGCCCAAGGAAGTGCAGGACTCTCGGGGTTGGAAGCTGGCTGGGGCAGCATGCTGAGTCAGCCTGGCCCAGCTTGAGCTGAGCTAATGCCACCCTGACCCCAATACCCTGAGCATCCTCCCAGCCTCAGCCTTAATAACCCGCCGTCCTGTCAGCCCCAATACGGGCTGCCTCGGCCTTGCCCCTTAGGAGAAGCTCCGCCCCTAGGCCGAGGGCCCGTTTTGTGACCCCGCCCTTGCCCCTCGCGGAAGTGGTGGAGCTGGTCGGCTCAGCCCTGAGGGGCTCGGGGCTGTGGGGCGGAGACCTCGGGGCGGGTGCTCCCTCCCGCGTCCCCTGGGAATCCGGGGGCGGGGATCCGGGAAGGGCCTGGAGCCAGAGGCCGCGAGCAGTCCAGGGGGTCAGCCGGCTGGCCCCGCCCCCGTACTGAGCGGTGAAGCCCGGACAGGGAGGGGTTAGCAGGCGGCCCGGCCCCCCCCCCCCCGGGCCCGCCCCCCCTCCCCCCGGGCCCGCCCCCCCTCCCGCGCTTCCTGGCGGCTCCGCGTCCGGCGCCTGTTTGTGCTGCGGCGCCGTGGCCCCGGACGGCCTCGCCACCCCACCCCCGGGAGCCGAGAGCGGCCCCGGGAGAGTCCGAGGGCCCGGGGGGGTCCGGAGACTGTGGCCCCGGACCCACAGCGCCCCCTCCAGGCTCCTTCCTCGCGCCCGACAGCGCCCCCGCGGGGTGGTGGTACGGCGCCCTTCGCGCGCTACCCGGGGTGCTTCCCCTTCCCCTCTCCCGGGCCGTGGCCCCCGCGGCTTAGACGCCTCCTCCGCCGCCGCCGCTCGGAGCAACCCGGGGGCCGGATGGACGGGGCCGCGGGGCCCGGTGAGTACGGGGCGGGGCGGGCGGCGTGCCCCTTCCCGGAGCGCCCGGCCCGTCGGGCTATGCCAGAGCTGGACGGCTGTCTGGAGGCGTCCCCGCGTGCTCCTCTGCCCAGGGGCTCCGAGCATCCTCCACAGTTCCTCCGGTCGCCTTCCCTAGTTACTCGGGTCTTGCTGTCACTTCGGGCTTCTCCAGCGTCTTCTACCCCCCCACGTAACTCCAGACCCCTCGATGTTTCTCTGCTCCCTACATTACTCCGGGCCTCTTCTCCTGGTATTTCAGCTCTTTTTCCTTCTAACCCCCACTGTTCCCTGAGACCTTCACTGTGACTCTGCTCACCACCCAGACCCCTCTCCTGTCACCCTGCATCTGTTTTCCTGTACTCCATTCCCGTGCCCTGCCCTCTCTCCCGGAGTCCCCCCGCTCAGTTACTCCTATTTCGCTGGAGACCTGAGCTTGCTGTGGGCGCGTGGGGAGGGAGGGCTGCCGTCCCTCCCCTCACCAGTGCGGTGCCTCTCTCTGTGGCTCCCACGTTCCTCGGCAGTACTTCATATCCCCCCCACCCCGCCCCATACTCCATGGTACTCCCAGTCTTTGCGGAGGCTGAGACGGCAGCAGGAAAGGAGCTTTGCCAGCCTTCTCGCCTGCCCTGCCAGAAGGAGGCCCTTGATCCTCTACCACCGTCTCCTCCCGTCTGGACGAGCATCCAAAGCTGGGGCTGCTTGAAAGGGCAGTCCTGCTGGACACTTGTAACGTTGTGGGGGGACAGAATCCCCTCTACGCTTTCCTCAGGTGGTGGGTACATTCTGAGTACTTCTTGCCCTTTTCTCAGGTGAGGGCTCTGCTCGGGAGGCCCTGCAGTCTCTGAGCCGGCGGCTTCGGGTGCAGGAGCAGGAGATGGAGCTGGTAAAGGCAGCCCTGGCAGAAGCCCTTCGCCTGCTTCGGCTGCAGGTGCCCCCCTCCTCCCTGCAGGAATCTGGCACACCAGCTCCTCCAGGGGACAGGTATGCATGTTAGCACACCCCCTTTTTCCTCCTCCCTGGGGCCTCTGGGGCTTCAGTTTAATTCATCATCTCTCCAGCAGTCTTGCAGCACCCCCAGGACTGCCACCCGCGTGCACCCCCTCTTTGGTGAGCCGAGGCACCCAGACAGAGACAGAGGTGGAGCTCAAGTCATCCCCTGGACCTCCTGGCCTGAGCAATGGACCCCCAGCCCCTCAGGGAGCTAGCGAAGAGCCTAGTGGGACCCAATCTGAAGGAGGGGGCAGCAGCAGCAGTGGTGCTGGCTCCCCCGGCCCCCCCGGGATCCTCAGGCCCTTGCAGCCCCCACAGCGTGCTGACACGTAGGTGTCCTGTGGCCTCGTGGTGAAAGCTGGGAGAGGTGGTGGGATTTTGGAGTGCAATTGGAGGGAATGACCTTCACTGTGCCCCCACCAGGCCCCGAAGAAATTCTTCCTCCTCCTCATCCCCCTCAGAGCGGCCTCGGCAGAAGCTCTCCAGGAAGGCAATTTCCTCCGCCAACCTGTTAGTGCGGTCCGGGAGCACAGAGAGGTGGGTGAGGCTTCCCTTCAACCCACCCCGCCCCAGGGGCAGGCTCTTGACTCTCCACATCCCTCACTTTACATCCCTGGGTGGGGTGGGGGGACCTCATTGCCCAACAGGAAGAAAGAAACAAGTACTCTTGGGGCACCTGCTGTGTACCGGGCACTGTGCTAAACCCTCGACCTCCTCCATTTCAGTCAGTCCCTACAACATCCTTGGGGGGTAGGTGGTCTCATGCTGTCCATTGCACAGGTGAGGAAGCAGGCTCAGAGAGGGTAAGTCGTTTGCCTGGGGTCACACAACTAGAGTCAGGATTTGAACCTAACTTTTCCTGACTCCAGTTCCCCTACCCTTTCCACTACATCACAGCACACCTTCCGTGATCCCAAGAGGCTTTTCTAGAAGCTCCCATGACTTTCATGGATGGCTGTCCCTAGAGCTTCAGCCCTCTTTCCGCTGGATCTACCAAGTACCAATCTATTAATACTTATTTCTAGAGGGCAAGGGGACGTCCTGGTGGCCGAACGTAGTTGCCTCAGAGTTTGTATGGGCCCTAGGACACTCAAATGTTCATT